CCACTTATGTTATCATTTTACTTATATGAAATATTTAGACTAGGAAAAACCACACAGACAGAAGGCACATCAGTTTTCCAAGGGCATGTAGAAACATTGGGAGTAGATACATGTCATGTAAGGGGAATGAAATTTAATTTAATTGCATGGATTTAGTCTTTTCTTCTCTCTCTCTCTCTCTCTCTCTCTCTCTCTCTCTCTGTTTCTGCATGTTTGTCTGTCTGTCTCTTTCTGCATGTGCATTTATTTAGAGCCTTCTTTCTTCTATGACCTGATCAACTACTTTTATTAGTATGAGGAAATCCCTAACAATAACCACCATCATTATAAGAGAGAGAAAAAAAGAAAGAAAAGAAAAATCATGTAGCTTTGAGAGGGTAAAAATACACTCCATGTGAAATGATGGTGCAATAATAATGATAAAGAAAATAGAATACAACAATGATATGCTGTGCATGGTAGACATAAATTTAATCCCAGTACTTGGGAGGCAGAGCCAGGACAATCTCTGTGAGTTCAAGGACAGTTTGTTAAACATAATGTGTTCTAGGCTGGCAAGGGCTACAGAGTGAGACCTTGTCTTAATAATAAAGAGGATTATGATAATAACAAAAGGAGGAGAAAATAACAGCAAATGTTTGCTGTGGGCTGGGGTGATGGAGGAAGGTCATTGTATAATAAAGGAACTGCCTTGGCCTATTTTATTGGTTAGAACATAGGTAGGTGGAGTAAACAGAACAGAATGCTGGGAGGAAGAGGAAGTGAGCTCAGACTCCACAGCTCTCCTCTCGGGAACAGACGCCTCAGAGAGATGCCGTGCTCCCAGCTCCCAGGCAGACGCACGTGATGAAGCTCCGACCCAGGATGGACATAGGCTAGAATCTTCCTGGTAAGCGCACCTAGGGGCGCTACACAGATGATTAGAAATGGGCTAAATTAATATGTGAGAATTAGCCTAGAAGAGGCTAGATAGAAATGGGCCAAGCAGTGATTAAATGAATACAGTTTGTGTGTTGTTATTTCGGGCATAAGCTAGCCAGGCAGCCGGAGTGCTGGGGACGCAGCCCCGCCGCTCATATTACTACACTACTACACTGGGGACTGAATTAAATGCTTTAAATGTTATTCTTCTAAGAGTCTTTGACATAGCGACTATTATTTTTCTGATTTTGTTAATGAGAAAATTGAGTTACATACAAATGAACCAATTTGCTAGAGGTCATATAACAAGAAAACAGAGAACGAGGACTGAAATCTCATTATCTGAGAGCCAAGATCTTAGCATCTGGAATCTGCAAGGATTTAACATCTATAATTTAAGGATATGAGACAAATTGATGTATATGTCTGTGCTAGCAGTTTGTTTTGGTATATTTGACCCTAGCTGGTATAATCTGGGAAGGAGGAACCTCAATTATAATACTACTTTCATCATTTGATTTGGGAGGGTCCAGACCATTGTTAGTGTTGCCATGCCTGGCAGGTAGTCATGGGTTGTGTAAAAAAGCAGGTTGGACAAGACATGAGAACAAGTCAGAAAGCACATTTCTTTAAGGGTCTTTGACTCAGTTCCTACACTGAGCTCCAGTCTTGACTTTGCTAGATGGGAGATGGTCAGTGATGTTTATGTATAAGCAAAACAACCCCTTTCTCCCACATGTTATTTTGCTGATGGCTTTCACCACAATAAGAGAACATGAATTAGAACAGTGCAACAAAACAGTCAAGTAAATGAACTATCTAGTCCTCTTCAGTTATAAACTTGTTATGGTGGAACTTGCCTGTCATTTTCCATTCTAAAGGCAAGATGATGAATATTTTAAGGTTATTCCTGGGCTATATGGTGAGTATTGAAGCCTTCCTGTGTTATACAATTGTTGTAGGTGGGTCATCTGTCTATATGTTATTCTCATTGATTAATAAAGAAACTGCCTTGGCATTTTGATAGGGCAGAAAATTAGGTGGGTGGAGTAGACAGAACAGAATTCTGGGAGAAAGAAAGCACAGTTGGTCAGATGCCAAGGAGCCAGCTGCCAGGTCAGACAGGCTGAATCTCTCCCGACAAGCCACCACCTCGTGGTCCTACACAGATTACCAAATGTGGGTTAATGCAACATGTGAGAATTAGCCAATAAGAGGCTGAAACTAATGGGCCAGGCAGTGTTTAAATGAATACAATTTGTGTGTTGTTATTTTGGCTGTAAAGCTAACCATGTGGGAGCCGGGTGAGACAAAAGGCAGGCCTGCTCACCTCATCACTACAAAGCCTGCTCGCCTCATCACTACATACACTATTTTGCTTCATTTTTTTTTAAAGAATAGCACATGTTTGATGTGGGAGAGTCTTTTTTTTTGTGTGTTGATTTCATTGGTTAAATAAAGAAACTGCCTTGGCCCTTTAATAGGACAGAAAATTAGGTAGGCGGAGTAGACAGAACAGAATGCTGGGAGAAAGAAGCCGAGTCAGGCAGTCGCCATGATTCTCCTCTCCAAGACAGATGCAGGTTAAGATCTTTCCTGGTAAGTTACCACCTCGTGGTGCTACACAGATTATTAGAAATGGGTTAATCAAGATATGAGAGTTAGCCAATAAGAGGCTGGAACTAATGGGTCAGGCAGTGTTCAAAAGAATACCTAAAACTGGTATTCTTCTTCATCAATTAGCAATGAGAATCTTAAAATAATTTTCCTTCTAAAGTGATTTATGGAAATTTGTTTAGGCTATAATTAGAGAAATGAAATAGGAATTAAATCAACCTATTTCAGAATCAGTAATTTAAAATGAATTCAAATAAAATGAACATGTATTTTCAGTATGCCATATATGATCTCTTTTGGATTAATTATCCATCTGTAGAAATATCTGGTGAAGGTAATTGAATTACTTTTATAAATGGTGAACAGATGTTGTAGAGTGTTTTGTTAGTATTCAAGTTAGGTTAGGTGGTGATACAAATAGAAAGGACTCAAGATCTAAGTAACTGAACACATAATTTATTTATTACTCTTAAAAAGTCCATTGCAAGTTCATCAGTTTTCTAGGACAAAATCCTTCTAAAGTGTGACATAAAGGTTCAGCTTGTATCCTTCTTGGAAGTTGGCCTTTACTTTCAGTTATGGTGGAAGTTCAAGAAAGAGCTGAAATATTATGTTAGAATTCTTTCTGCTCAAGGATGGAATTAACACATCACTTCTGTTCTCAATTCCTATATTGTAAGCAGTCAGATGGGATGTCCTAACTACAGAGACCTGGGAAGTGAATGTGAGCACAGAGCTATAGGATAAACTATAAATGTTTTTGCCATATTCTACAAATAATTTAACTTTAAAAACATTTACTGAATACTCTTGAAAAAACTATACATGGATACAAAATACACATTAAATACAATAATTTTATAAGCAATATACATATAGATATATTTTAAGAGACAGTTGTATTTATGAAACTCCAAGATGATTTAACATGGCATTACTACACAATACTTCAAGAAGAAATTGAAAGAGTCCAATATTACCACTGCAACATTCTGTAGAGGTGACAAATCATTTATTTACTAGATGTTTTCTACAATGTTTCTTTTTATTCAAAGAATCTGAGATTCAGTCACCTATTTGAAATAAAAAAAAAATACTGAGCCTCTCTAATCATGCCAAAATACTTGTACAATGATATTATTAGTGTAACTTCTGTAATAAGTGTTGTTAAAACATAAACTTATAATTTACACTACTGTGATATAGAATGTAAAGTAAATATATTTTAACACATTTTTAACATTAGTTGTGAATATGACTCAACAACAGTCACAAGGCACCAGATCCTTAGTAATATATAGACACAAAAAAATAAATGATATCATCATTACATAAATTTAACTTCTATTACACTTCAGTACTAATGCTTAGGATAAGAAACATTTAATGAACATACATACAAATATTTTGGCAGTTGTTTATGTAACACAACACACAGCATACTAGAAATCTGGCACTCAACTTGCTTATAGCAAACCAGCTTCAATATGAAGGCATTACAATTTCTTAAAAACCTTCTTTTTACATACTAAATATTTTGGCACATGTGCAATTTAAGCAGACCAATGAGATAAAAGTAATATCCAAAATTTAAGAAATGAAAAGTTTGAACTTTATATCATAACCATGAATTATATTTAAAAAGATCACCACTTGTCATAAAGAATATCACTGGATAATTACAATGGCAGAATGAAGTGTGTAAAACATCATAATGTTTATTAATAAAAACAAAGAAACAAAGCCAAAGACAGTTTGCAATTATCCTCCTTCAAAAAAATAAGTTAATTCAAATCATTTAGTATTCTAATGTGAAATAGCATTTAGTACTAAAGAATGAATAGTGCTAAAGTGGAGCTAAATGTCATAGCTTTGGGGACTTTATTCTGTAAACTGCTTTCTTGTTCTCTTGATACAGTACACAACAACATTCAGTGTGTAAGAAATAAATGGCTGCTGCACTGGCAAAAATAGGATGTGTAAGGATTAAAGGCACACTTTTCAGCTAGCTAGAGTAGCAAACAAACCCCCTCCCACTCCCTGACATGAGCCCTTCCCCAATGTAAACAAAAACTTCTTGGGAAAAAAATAAACATCAACCAAACATATCTACAAAATTAAATTTTGAACAACAATGCTGTCTTATCTTCAAAATGTCCACTCTAATTGTCAGGATGTTTCTGTACTTTAAAGATAGGCAAAAATTACATACATCTGAAAAAAATACATATATTTGACTATACATTAAAGATATGCAAAAATTACATATGTTTAACACTAGATATGTTTTTGGTTAAAATTATTCATTATTGAAAATATATTAATTGAACTCCAAACATTTTAATACTAGTAAGACAACTGAGTTTTGGTTCCCAGAGGAGTAACTATTAGACATAAAGAGAGACATTAAACAAACAAAACCCTATATAGAAGCTGCAAGCAACAAATACCTTTACTGGCACAGTGGCATTTCTCTGGCAATTTAAAGTCCAGAATAACTCTATTAACACAGGAAATCTCATGCATTTTGGTAAATATGACCTAGATTTTCACAGTTGAAGTTTCTTTAGATTTTGTTTCATTTTAAATACGGAAAGCCTATTTGGTTTTCCTTTATGTTACACTGATTTGTGACTTGAACTAGACTTCTTCTTCTTCCTCTTCTTACTGTGTTTCTTGTGATGTTTCTTCTTTTTTTTCTTCATCTTTTCCATTTTTCTTTCTTGCTCATCATGTTTTCTTTTCTTTTTTGCCTGCATCTCCTCTTCATAATCTGAATCGAATGAAGATTCTGAAGAGGATGGTTCTTCTTCAGGACAAGCCTTCTTTCTTTTTTTGCTGTAGCTTTTGGTATATTTTTCTTTTTCAGTTTCATCCTTTGTCTTTTTCTTCTTTAGGGGAAGTTCCTTGCTTGGCGATTCTGATTCAGAAGTGGAGCTTTCTGATGATTTGTGGGAATGGTTCTTCTTTCTCTTTCTCTTTTTCCCTTGTTTCTTTGGCTCATCCTCAGAATCTGAAGAACTGCTTGATGAATCGGAGCTTGATGAAGAGGATGTATACCTACAAGATTTCTTCTTTTTCTTTTTCTTTTTTTCTTTTCTTTTGGATGAACTGACATTTCCACCTAATACTTTCTCTCTGCTTTTCTCAAGTTCTTTCTTCCAATTTTGATTCATTTTTTCTTCAAATTCAGCCAATGTCTTGGAGCCTTTCTTTTTATTCTCTAATTGTTTCTTTACTTCTTCCCAGGTGGGTCTTGGTCGATTCAGATAATCTTGTATAGTTGGGCATGCAGATTGACTTGTACCCCTCCATCTGGCCATTGCTATAGGATTCATATATGCCACTCGATTATCACGTTTCCCCATGGCACCAGGTGGTTCTCAGAGCAGACTACCAGTTGGCAAAGAGAAGAATGTTAGGCCCACTTCTCAAGTTCTTCATCTGCTACTTTACCGAGGAGTCTCCATTCTGTTATAGAAGCAGATCAAACCATTATGGAACACCTTTAAGACATAATGATATATAAGAATAACTGTTACTTTAATAGTCATCATGGAAGAGGAGGGAAAATTGCATAAATATATGGAAGAGCAGGAACACGATGCAGGTTGCCCCTCTGTATTCTGTGAATATGTTTTGTTACCATTAGTATTAACAGAAGCTGCTTCAGCATGTGGCAGGGCAGAATATAGCCAGGTGGTAAAACTAAAGTAAATGCAGGGAGAAAGAGTGAGGAATTATGCAGATACTATGTAGTTTTCCAAGAAGCAAGATGTGAAGTAACAAAACACAGCCTCATGGTAAAATATAAAATAATAGAAAAGGGTTAATTTAAGATGTAAGAGCTAGATAGGAATATGTATAAACCATTGGTCAAACAGTATTATAATTAATATAGTTTTTGTATGATTATTTGGGTCTGGGTGACCAGGAAAAACAAGCACAGTCTCTGTTTATAAGAACAGAGCAAAACAGTGCTTTACAAATTTTCTAAAACCGCTACACTCATGAACTCATAGTAGCTGTGGTTGCCTGGAAAAGATCAAGTATTCAATATTTTTCCATAGAGCTGGGACAAGCTCCAATTCTACATCTAACATAGGAGAAATAAACAGTAGATGGATTCTGGAACGAGAATGCCATCTTTTGCGAATGTGACTCCTGGTAGGTTGACCATGCTTTAGTGGATTACTCCATACCCATGAGCACATGAGCAACACGAATTAAGAGTCAGAGGATTATTTTTTATTTATTTATTTATTAAAGATTTCTGCCTCCTCCCCGCCACCTCCTCCCATTTCCCTCCCCCTCCCCCAATCAAGTCCCCCTCCCTCATCAGCCCGAAGAGCAATCAGGGTTCTTTGCCCTGTGGGAAGTCCAATGACCACCCACATCCATCCAGGTCTAGTAAGGTGAGCAACCAAAGAGGATTATTTTAAAAAGAAGACTCTAAGTTTGTGGGTGGGGATGGAATGGTTGATCTAGGAGATATTAAAGGGTAAGAAGGGATAAATATGATCAAATTACATTTTCTCATTTATAAACACAGGAATTGATACATGGATTGGCCATGTGAAAGGAACATTCAGAACGAGGTTCCCAGAGACAGTCCATTTTATTTTGGTACAGTATCTCATTATGATGTCCTTGGTAGCCTGGAAATCCTATCTCAAATAGGTTTGCCTGAAATTCACAGAAATTTGCCTGTCACTGCCTCCAAAGTGCTGGAATAAAAGGTATGTGCCACCATGCTCAATAAGAGTTAGTCATTTATGTACAGAAATCTGTAGAATAAAAACATTTATTTTGGATGAAGTAATAAAGGACATGTCAAGAAAGGGAAACTGTATGTGAAAAATTACTGGGATTACAAAGCTTACCATAAAATTACCTATGACCTAGGCAAAGAGATGTTGATATGAGTGAGAGATATGGTTTCCCAAGCAGTCAGAAGCTTGGGAAGTCCTTCTGACTCTTAAAAATCTTTGTTCTAACTCAAGTGGTGTTGATTCATGCTTTTAATCCCAGCATTCAGGGAGGTAGATCTCTGTTCTAGCCTGGTCTACAGAGTGAGTTCTAGGACAGCCAGAGATATACAGAGAAACCCAGTCTCAAAAAAAAAAATCTTTGTTCTATAATTGAAAAAAAAAAAACACTGAAACCTTTTAAAGCAGAAGATAAAGATTATCAGACACATAATAAGTTTTTCCATTACTCACTTTCTTCACTTCTGATCTATTAAACAATCTATACCTACCCAACACAATATGGACTGTATAGACTTAAAGCATTCAACTGCTTTTCTAATTCACAGCCCCAAAGTCCATATACCTTCAAACCAAAAACATGGTCTGGTCTATCACAGGAATACCCAAGTCCCTAGTACCAGCTTCTGGTTTAGTCAGGGTTTCTATTATTGTAAAGAGACACCGAAATGACTGTAATTCTTATAAATTAAAACAATTAATTTGGGTGGCTCACTTACAGTTCGAAAGATTAGTTCATTATCATTATGAAGGGAAACAAAACAACATGGAGACAGACATGATGCTAGAGTTGAGAGTCCTTACTTCTTGGTGCAAAAGCAAGAAGGAGTAAACTGTCTTATTGGGCATGGCTTGGACATACATGGGACATCAAAGCTCACCTCCACAGTGACACACTTTCTCCAACAAAACCATACCTACTCCAACAAGGCAGCCTTCCCTAATGGTGTCACTCCCTTTGGGGATCAGTTTTTAAAACCACTATAGTAAGTAACACATAAAAAAAGAAATAATTTCACTTAGAACATCAATTCTCATTACTGTGTAATATTTAGCTTCAGTGATAAGCAAGTACTCTTTACCTTTAAATATTCAAATAATTCTAAAGAATCTCAAACAAGAATATTAAGTGCAAGAGATGATCAAGGAAATTTACATATAAAAGTATATATTTAACTCTTCTTTTACGATACAAGGATAAACCTCTAATGAAATTCTATTATTAAAAAATAATATAGTTAAGTTCATTTACATGTTTGTGTCCCTTTAATGTCAGTGAATTAATTGATCATGTTTATGATTTTATTTTTAAATTCTGTGTCCTGGAGTTCTTCTAGTTAATTGTCAATGGTGAATATTTCTATGGAACTAGTAATTTTGAAGGTGACATAGTTTCTTGATTTTTTTTTGTAACATGTGAAGGGACCTGGGAATGTGGACTTCTTTTGTTGGTTATGGGTCTGATATGATTCTAGTCTGCCTCTATTAACTGAAAGTTTGTTTCTGTCAAAGCTTGGTTGATTTTATACTTGACCTGAGGTCCCTTGAATATTTCATGTTTTATTTAACTTGGAAAAATGGGTAACCAAGAAAACATGTGAGTCTGACGATTGACTAGATCTCTCTGGGCTGGACACTTGAGCATATTTACAGGATGTTTAGAACAAAGCTTCTTTATAGAGTAGCACAAATGACTGTTGGATCACAAAGTTTAAATTGTATTGCTTTTAAATGATCAGGTTCTTTTTTTGGAGGGGGGAGAGGTTCAAGAGAGAATTTCTCTGTGTGTAGCCTCGGCTGTTCTCAAATTCATTCTGTAGAGCAAGCAGGCTTGAACTCATAGAGGTCTGTGTATCCCTGCCTCCCAAATGCTTGGATTAAAGGAATGTGTCACCAAGACCAGGTTAGAATGATTAATTTTAAAAATTGTTGCTTGAGTTGCTCATTTGGGTTACATAAAACAATTATGCAGTGAATTTTTGTCTGGTGATTAAGAGAAATTTTCCAATATTTCAAAAAATGACTCAAAATATATTTCTACTGTGGAATCCATTTTCTGCATTGATAAATATAATATCAAAATACCAATGAACACTGAAAAATGTCAATTACATTCTATGTCCTAATATTAAACAGTCAAATAACATACTGCTTTTCCTGCAAAAATAAACAGACATATCTCATTAATAAATAGATTTCCTTTCAACTGAATAGATAAAAAATATATACATATAAAAGCTTTTTAAGTATAATTTCCTTGTGATTCATGGTTAGTAAATGTTTCCTTTATATATCTACTTTATACAGCTATATCAGGTCATGTAAAAACAACTGTAAATGTAAAAAAAAAGAATCACAAGTGGAAAACTTTTGAAAAAACATAATTTAGAGAAAATGAAACATAACTAGCTTTATAAAAGTAGGTAAGATAGGGCATAACATTGGAAAAAAATACAGAAAAGCAACAGACATGGTACACACCTATAATTCTAGTATATGAGAGGTGGAGACATGGCAATTTAAGAGTTTTAGAGAAGTCTGCATTATACTGGGAGTTCAAGTCTATGCTGGTATTTCATGAGAACTTGTCAGAAAAAGGAAAATATAAATACTCGATTTCATAGTAAGAGAACACTCCCTGAAGGTTTATAAAGGAGGGAAGCAATAAACAGTTCTTCCTACCCAACTATGATACCAAAAGTGGCATTGCATAATAACATTAAAGTTATAGTAATGGCACACATACCTTCTGGGTAGTCTACAGTTCTCTAATTGGAATTTAAAAGTGCTCAAAAAGAGGGAAATTATGTTCAGTACTGGAAACCTAGCCAATTACCCAGGACTATTGGTCATTGATCTTGGAGAAGAACCTAACACTGTCACTTTGTGAAATCAGCATAATCTGAAATATGTTCTAAATATGTGTCATTTTACTCACATATAAAGTACAGAAAACCACAACCAACCAAAATATATAGTTGTAAATCCCAGTGCCAACTATATATCTACAACACAGTTCCTATACATAGGCTCCAGTATCATTGTTGAAGAGACGACAGAAAAATTATAGGAGCCAAAGAATCAGTCTGTGAGTCTGTGTCTCCTAGGAATGCCATAAGCTATGCCCATAAATTCTCACTAACATGACTTCCTAAATAAAAGTTGAAGAAGGACAATAATAATAGATATTTTAAAGTAAGTTGGGGCAATCCCATGAGGCCCCAAAACAAAACAAGGGACTGCAAGCAATTAAGGAATGCTGAGAAGTAAAGAAATAGTCTTTCCCTTTAAAGAGCTCACCAACTAATTATTCAATATCAAAGGGTAAGTCCTGAAAATATATACATATGAGAGGCAATATTCATAATGAGAATGTTGTGTTTATACATTTAGGAATATATATATATACACACACACACAGACATATATAAGTATTACGTCATGCTATATTATATAACCCTAAATGTATATATAATATGTTATGTGTGTGTATGGGTAATAATAGTTAAAAAAATAAGAAACCATGAATTAATTAATTAATTAATTAATTTATTTATTTATTTTGGTTTTTCGAGACAGGGTTTCTCTGTAGCTTTGGTGCCTGGTGCCTGGTGCCTGGTGCCTGTCCCGGAACTAGCTCTTGTAGACCAGGCTGGCCTCGAACTCCCAGAGATCTGCCTGCCTCTGCCTCCCAAGTGCTGAGATTAAAGGCATGTGCCACCACCGTGAATTTGAGAGAGAGTAAGGGGGAGTGCATAGGAAGGTTTCAAGGAAGGAGAGGGAAGAGGGGATTGATGTAATTACATTATAATGCTCAATGCTGACCCCTAGTTTTGTTTCTAAGCTCTCGGTTAGTTGGGGCTTTTATTTTTTTTCTGTCCCTACATTTTCTTTTGCTCCCGTTTATCTCTCTGATTAGGAACTCTGAATTGTGACTTTGTTCATCATGGTAATCCTACATAAGGGCTGACCACCCAGGAGGTATAACCAATAAAGTAGCTTCTGAACAGGTCCTTTACACCTGCAGACACTGTCTGAGCATATGTCTGTGGCCCAACAAACTGCAGAAATCCCTCACTATAAGCAACACACTTAGTCTGAGAACATTACTCTCCCCTTCCCTTCTGTGATCGTCCTTATATGGGCTCCCTCAAAGCATGACAACAGCTGATTATTTTTGCCTGGGTACTCTCTCTGGGATTTTCTGAAGGCTCTCTTGCCTTAAGGGTAGTCCCAACTGGTATGGGAGGTCCTTCTGTATATGTGCTGCTTTTATTGGTTAATGAATAAAGAAATTGCCATGGCCTGTTGATAGGGCAGAACTTAGGTAGGCAGGGAAAACTAAACTGAATGCTGGGAAAAAGAAGGGCAAAGTCAGAGAGAAGCCATGAAGCTGCTGCCAGAGACAGATACACTGAATCTTTTCTGGTAGGCCACAAACTCTGGTGACACAAAGATTAATGGAGATGGGTTAATTAAGATATAGATTTAGCCAATAAAAAGTTAGAGCTAATGGGCCAAGCAGTGATTTTAATTTCATAGTTTCTATGTGATTATTTTGGTTCTGGGTGGCTGGGATGAACAAGCAGTCCTCCTCCAATGGCCAACCACTCCTCAAAGTATACACTGTTGGACTTCCTCTCCTAGTCTCTATTCTCAAGTGATCCAGTTACATGACCACCTATTAAAGAACCATTAGGACAGTGACTGGTCTCTTGATTCACAGAAGGACTTTGGCAGTTTGACTGTGATTGAATCCCCTTTCCCTTTTGGGATCTCAACATTCAAATGACTACTTCCACTAGCTTGAATCTGGATCTGAGTGTAGGGACCAAGATGCAGTTGTTGCCACTCACCCTGTGTCTTCTGGCCTCTTTCATCTTTGCTGCCCCTCCTCACAAGCTACTCCTGTGGCCCATTATGAATAGTGCCCCTTCCCCAGAGGGGAAGCTTTTACCTGATTTACCCTTGCCCAGTTGTAAACATTTAACTAGAACTTGTACCACATGTACCCCATTGACCCTGTTGGAACTTTTGAATAAGGCAAGCGTAAAGCATAGAAGATTGGTTCCCAATGTGATGTAGGTGGGTTTTCTTTCTATGTGTTATTTTATTGGTTAATAAAGAAACTGCCTTGGCCCTTTGATAGGACAGAAAATTTGGTAGGCAGAGTAAACAGAACAGTATGCTGGGTAGAAGGAAGTGAGGTCAGACGCAAGGGAGCCAACCGCCAGGTCAGACATGCTGAATCTTTCCCGGTAAGCCATCACCTCGTGGTGCTACACAGATTACTAAATATGGGTTAAAGCAATATGTGAGAATTAGCCAATAAGAAACTGAAACTAATGGGCCAGGCAGTGTTTAAAATAATACAATTTGTGTGTTGTTATTTTGGGGGCTAAGCTAGCCAGGCAGCCGGAAGCCGGGTGGCAGGAACGCAGCCCACTGCTCCTTCTACACCAATGCACTTTGGCAGATATATGTCACTCATTATGCCCCCATTTGACAAGCTTAAATATAACATGTAATTTTTGACACCCATTCCTCTTTTCTTTATGCTTTGGCCCAAACAGAGGAGAAGGCTATACAAGCTATCAAGGCACCAAAGAAAGCCATGTTGGTTATGGGGGTACCCTGGGCAATAAAAACTGACAATGGTTCAGTTTATACCTCTCAAAGCTTTATGGACTTCTTACAGAACTTCAAAATCAAACAATCAACAGGTATTACATATAATCCCCTAGGTCTGGCTATATGGAAAGAATAAAGACCTCCTTAAAAGGATAAATGGACAAAATCTCCTCAAAAAATAAAAAAAAAAGGATCCTCACCAAGCCTTGGTGGAGGCTGTCTTCAAAAGCAAAATTTCTTGGCCTCTGATGAAAAGGGCCTTAACCCTGTTTATAAACACTGGGCTTCCCTCCCTAGGGAAACTCCACTCCCACTTGTAAGATGGAGGGATCCCTTACCCACCCACCCCTATAGAAATCCTGCTCAGGTCAATAATCCCATGTTTGGCAATTGGTCCCTCTGTGGAAATGATGCGTGCATAGATTTAAACACCTCCTATTTTTTTTTGAGGAGGCAATTATCATAATGGAACCATTAAGGGCAATAAATCATTTGAGGACTCAATCCAAACAATACCAAAAACAAATTTTACTTTCAACAGATGCCCATCTATGTCAAAAACCCCTTCTACCTTTTACTAACCAATGCTAGTACATCAAATGTAAACTGCACAAGCCACTGCATGCTGGATGCCCATTGGAATCCTAAAGAAGCTTCTCATGCAGTCTTGGTATGTATTCCTTGCATTCTTATGGATGCCTATTGCCAAAGTTATCTGTTATTATAAGACAGAGCTTATGAGTCCCACTAGAATAAAGAGAGACTTTGAAATAACTACAGAAAACACTGCAGTGATCTTGCTTGCAGTAGCTACGACCTCTTATTCAAACAGGAACCATGGCCAATGCCTTAAACATGGCCATAGAAAAATCAGCTGAAGTGTGCAGCACGAGACAGTTAATTGATGCTCACTTTCATATGGATATTATAAATTTACAGCAGCAAATTAAATTAGATAAAAATATAATACTATTGCATAAGGGCCAATTGTGATCCTCTATTTCAATCCCTTTGCTTAACTCCATATAGAGTTTCTAAGATGTCCTTGGCCTGACAGCAACTAAGATATAACTTATTACTTTTCAGTTTTGGCTGGTTCTCTTTTCATGATCACAATACATATAATCAAAGACCTTTATGGCTCACAGCAAACAATCTATGCCAAAAATTTCAACTAAATAGTCTTTCATCAGTATTTCAGATATACCACATTCTTTCTATCCTGGGCCTTTGCACATAGTGTTTCCTTCCACAATCATGACTTTAGAGAAGTCTTTTTATAACCCTGAAAACTGCCAGGCCTCATAGATATACTTTGATAGAATTTTATACATTTTATTTTATTGGTTTTTTTTTTTTTTTCATTTTCGTGACAGGGTTTCTCTGTAGCTTTTTTTGGTTCCTGTTCTGGAATTAGCTCTTCTAGACCAGGCTGGCCTCGAACTCACAGAGATCTGCCTGCCTCTTCTTCCTGAGTGCTGGGATTAAAGGTGTGCGCAACCACCGCCCGGCTATACATTTTATTTTAATACTCACAACATTTAACATTGAGAAGTAGTGTAAATATTCTTATTTTCCTTAACCAGATTATGTTTTCTTTTGTTGTTGAATTTCATTCACTTGTTAGTTTATTCATTTATTCCTCTTTTTACATCCTTACTTCTGTTTCCCCTCCCTGTCTTCCTCCAAGTCTCTTTCCTATCACCTCTCTGCTCCCAGCCCTCAATATACTCCTCATTTTTTTTTTATGTTTAGGAAACGGAAGGTTTCTGATGAGCATCAACAAAAAATGGCATATCAATTTGGAGTAAAACTAAGTACCTACCTGATTTTCAAGGCTGCACAAGGCAACCCAGTATGAGGAGCAACTTCAGCTGTTCATTTTAGCAATGACTTGATCACTATTATTCTTCTTTGCTTCATTATCAGCACCAAATAAAAGCACATCATTCCCTCTTATTCATTTACTTACCTAACTTGGAATCTGGATTGTTCACACTTCTTTCACCTCTCCAGATTACTCCTTTTAAATTCTTTTTCAGGTTCTTTCCCATTTAACATACATGAAAGAAATGAGATAGTTTGTTAAAATCCTTCTGGTAATTTGTTAATAAGATCTAAGTTATAGAAAGAAAACTTAAAATAACAAAAATTGCAACTAAAATTAATGAAGGGAAAAAGAAACATTCTTTTATTCAGCTAAAACCGCTGAATAACGTGGATAAGTATTTTCTCAGTATTAGTCATTTATTCAATTGTGTATGTTCTATGAGAAAAGCAATAGAAATTACTTTCCACTTTCATGTTTTTTACCCATACTTGTTTAGCTTCCCCTGGCCTCATAAAACTCCATCATCAATCACATAATTGTGCATATTAAATTTTTAGTGTTTTAAAATTAAGAAACTAATAAAATATTATAGCTATTATAATAGTTTTAATTAACATAAAATAGTTATGGATAATAATGGGTTTTCATTATTATATTTTCATGAAATCATTTTATGTATTTTGATTATGAATACAATCAAAATTCATATTCCATTGCACACTCTTGCCCCCTTCTACTCTCTCTCTTTTCCTTCCATTTCTCAAATACTTCCCTTCTATATTCAAGCCATTTTGGTTTTGTTACCCAGACAGTTTATTAAGGGTTATTTAAAGGAGTGTGGTTTAAGGGTCATTTATAAAATGGATAAGTTACCATGATATACACTACTACAGAAAAATTTTCATTTTCTCCTAGAAACTGTTAACTTCCTACAAGTTCTCAGGGGATGGGACTCTTGAGCCCCTCCCCTTCTGGATAGAATGTCAAAAGGCACAAACTTTTTCTTCTCATGTATAGTCAACTGCTGAGAATTTGAGAATGTCCTGCCATATCATGAGTAGAATGCAGTGATCCACACTAACACTACCTCCAGAATATTTATTCTGTCTCTCTTTTCTATTGAGTATTTGAGGAGTTGATATAAACTTTAATTTATGGAGTAAATTAATTTTCTATTTTCCATATTGTTCCTAAGTTTTAATGTACATATAATTTATTAACATAAAGATTTCTAGTAATAATAACACATCTAAGAATGAACCTCAAAATGTGGTTGAAGTATATATGTATCTTTAAGATTCTTTTCTGCCTAAAATATACCTTACAAAAAACTAAATGTTGAAGGGCATATAAAAAGTATTAAGTTGTGCATTAAAAAATTGAAAACATAAAGTCTTATTTTCTTGGCACTATTTTCATTTGAAAAATATGATATTTAAAGAAAATTATAACTAGGTAGCATATAAAAGTATTGTGATTACTATTTTCAAGCATTTAAAATGTATTTTAGTTTTAAAGCCACAAATTCCAATTGTAATGATATATATGACAAACTATTTACAATATAAAATGATGCCCCTTAGGGGTCTCAGTAACTTGTCAGTAATGGAAAAAAAGCCTAATACCGAACAATGGCTTTGAAAATAAATCTACTTTTCAAATAATGTTCACTGAACACCTGTTGTAGAGTCCTGTGGGACACTATAGATCTTAGAGTTCTGCATGATAACAGAAATCAGTAATCCAAGAGCACAGTGTGGAAACAGGAAGATTACCCACTTGATGGCAGCTTCATTCCCATAACTAGTTCTCCGCCCACCTATGTTATACTGAGAGTTCCAGACAGCAAGGACACTATGTTGAAATCATATTTAAAAAAAAAAAAACTAACACAAAACAAAGTATACATAATGAAACAGACTCTGCATGCTTATAAGCCTGAAAGTTATAGTTCCCTCTTCTATTTTCCCCAATCCTGGACTGTCTTTCACATATATACTCAATATAGAAAGATATATTTATTTAAGGAAGCTCAACATGATTTATTTATACCACATAAGCTTTAGAGACTGTAATAGAGACCTTGGGAAAAGCTGATTTTTATGTTATTCTTTTCCTGTAGTCTTAGCCACCAAGGAAGCTGAACCAGGAGGAATGTTTAACTTGTGAGGTGGAAACACAAGGAGACCCTGTTAGTAACAAACAAACAAAGAATGTTTCTTTTCAGTTTTAGTGGCAGTAGTAAGACTTGGTAATTTCATAAGAGGTATATCATATCATTTTATCGGATATCATAAAAGAGTAGAAGGTGGGGTAGAGCAGTGTGAACCAAAATTCCACATACTGGAGAAATTCAAGTGTTTAAAGAGCTCAGATACCCAAGGATAATAGAGATACCCATGGTGAGGTGAAGAGTTACAAGAGTAGAAGGAATGCTCCCTATGTGGGGGCAGGGATTTCAGAATCATGTGTGCTACAAAATGTATGACCTGAAGGATTGAGCAGAAGATTCTTCCCAGAAGTACAGGTTTATAAGGTGTGTGTGTGTGTGACATTCTGGAGGACAGATGTCTAGGAGAGCAAATATTTCTTGAGATGGAAAATTAATAATATGAGGAGATATCCAGGGGTTAGAGGAAGTGGGAATTTTGAGAGGAGGAATTTCCACAGGAGGGTGTTTAGGGTATTCTGGAGGCAGTGTGATCAAGGATTTCTAGCAGGATGTTTTAAGGGGTACAGTGCTTCAAAAGTGGAGGTAACAGTATTATGCAAGTGGATGAAACCATTTTCAAGTAGGTAGGTAGGGGAGATAGTGAAGCAGGAGCTGTACATTGTTAAGGATGTGAGGAGGGGAGCACAGGGTTTCAAGAAGTAGGTGATTAAAGAGGTGTTGTATGTCAGAGAGTAATGAAAGAAGCAGGAATCCAAAGGTTACATGGTCAGGTGTTTGTAAAGTGAAATTGGAAAGGTTGGAGTTGCCAGTGATGGATTTTTCTTAGAGAGGTATTAGAAGTCATTAATTGAGTTCCCAGAGATGGTAGACTTTGAGAGTTGAAGAGGTAGTACTTTTCCCCTAGCAGATCTTTGGCACCATCAATTCTTATTCACTTCTGCCAATAAGTAGGGAAGGTCTGTACATGCACAGCATTTTGGAAGAATTCCATCTAGGATACTATTATCATAGTGTAATTTTTGTTAAAATTTTAAAGAAAACAGAAAATAATATTCTCTCACATCAAATAGTCATTTTCTTGCTAACAAACAGCCAGGTGTTGCCACATGCATGATCATTCATGTAGACACACTGTGTGCTTCCTTCCATGGAGACACGTAGCTACAATCATATCAATATGTCAGTAGTAACCAGGATTATGAAGGTTAGTTCATGATAGCTAGCATGCTAAACTATGGTAGTATCAGCTTATAAGGAAAAAAATAGTATAATTCTGATGGAATCCTACTATTTTGAAGGCCAAAGCATGTGCATTATACTCAAGGTTACCATGAGCTACGTAATGAATTTCAACTCATCCTTGGCTGTATGTAAAGGTATATGTATGTTTGCATTTGTATACATGAAGAAATAGAGAGGGGAAGAGGTGGGGAGAGGAGAGGAAATTAGAAGAGAGGAAAGGAGGGCAGAGGAGAGAAGAGAGAAGATTCTGAACAGTACCAAAGACAATGAATTAACATGAATAATTCAGCATAATCCACAGTGATTCATTTGATTTTTGTTTTTCATTTCTCTAGTTTTTGTTTTTGGAATGCTTTTTTTTAACCAGTATCTTCTTATGCAGGTAGGCCAGCTGTGAACTTGTGAGGAGCCTCCTCTGTCAGCACTTCAGGGTTGGGATTATAGAACTGTCACCAAGTCTGCTCACTGTGATAATTTAGTCATCACATTATAGTCAGAAAAATCAACTAAATATGAATACTATGAATCATGATAAGTTGAAACCATACATCTTCTACATCCTGTTAACATCATATTAACACTGCTTTTCAGTCTAAGTATTTGTTTTCACTTCCTTTTCCTTCTCATGAGCAAGTTCCGTGAAGATCATTAATAAAACAGTCATTTCTTAAGGAAGCTCAAAAATCTCATATATCAGTGAACTTTCAGGGGCAGCAATATAGGTCATAAGAAAAGGACGTTTACTTCTACATTCTGTTATTTAAATACTACGTGCATGGTGTTTCTATCACTGAAGAGTATATTATAATCATTTTTTAGGTTTAAAAACCTTCATCACTGTTGATCACTGATTAGTGTTCAATTTGTAGATAGACCATTTTATTTAATTGGACTATTGATGTTACCAAAATTTTTAAATTTGAAAATGTTGTCTTTCTCCTTTGCATTAAACCTAATTTTATAGCTCTATCATTGAAAATTATTTTCATTCCATATGTTCTACCATAATGTTTCTTTTTATTTTCTTTCATCCTTTTTATTTTATCCTTAGATCTCCAAATACCTAGTCAGCTGTACCTAACATTTATCTATTTAAGCCTTGATTTTTATATCTTATGTCAATAGCAATGATGTATCAAGTTTACACATGATAGTGTTAACCTATTTTTATAATAGCTTTTTTGTTTCTCATGTTCTTTTTTAATATTTTTTTTTAAAATTATATTCAAAGCTATTCCTAAAGCAACTTTCATGTTTGTTTTATTTCTGTGCCTTCAAAGCAACCACTAAATTGCTAAATATATATGTTATCATTATATTAGTGTTAAGTGTTTATTTAAATGAATGATTTTCATTATTGTATTCAGTATCATGAATGCATGCCTTTTTATGAGCTTAACATTATAGTAGGTGGTATAAAGGAAGAAATGAATAAATAATAGCTGATCATATCTGTTACGCTTACAAGTCTAGCTATGGAAATTAAAACACATGAGTAAGGTTAAAAAAAGACTGCCATTCAAAAATATAATCTATGATTAAGAAAGAATCATAGATTCTAGAATCATAGATTGAAGGCGTAAGTCACAAACAATGCCACACCAATTCGGGGTTATGATTATTAGGGTGGTATTTATTTAAAGGGGAAAAAACTTACAGATCACTGTCCCAGGCAACAGCCCTCTACGCAACCAGGAAAGGAGTCTAGTCGCAGGCGGAGCAGGAAGTGAAGAGAGAGCGGAGAGGGAAGTGGCCGCTTTTTTAAAGGGAGAGAAACCACGCCCCAGTGGGCTGGTACC